TATGTGAAATCTGATGTGTTATTTTCATATAATGGTCTCCCAGCCATTGTGGTGTCAATAAGCATCACCTATCAACTGGTCCATGAAGTAGTTTTTCCAACTAAAAGGTGAATTCATAGAGATCCTAAAAGGCTTGGCTAAGGCCATCAGTGAAAAAGCAAGGCTTTCCAGTCACACTTCTCAGCCATTCTTTCGATGATCTTAAGGGTATTTTCCAACCGAAATGCTTCTGTGCTTCACAATGGCTTTTGTCATCCTCATCCTCTGCTTTCCAAAATGTGTTGGACATTTTCTCCCTTGGTACAATAATGGCTTAGAGAAGGTCCTAGAAATAAAATATCCCCCGCTTCCTCAGAGCAGTCCAGTGCCTGTGCACAGGTGTGATGTAGAGACTGTGTCTTTCCTTTTTTTCGTGGCTATCAAGCATTGCAGAGTAACGTTGGCACTCAAGAATGCCAACATAGTGGACATGTGTGGGTAAATAAGCAGGAAAGGAGAGAGGGAGAGAGAGAGCAAGAGGAAAAAAATAAAATAAAAAAGCAGCATTCTGTTGGCTTATTAAAGTACTTAAAAAAGGATTTAACTTTTAATTAGAAGGAGGCTGCTAGGTCTTTGTGCTTTTTCTGCCCTGACAGCCTGAGTTTATGCTTCCACCTTTGTTAAGTAATTTATATATGCTGTTTGCATTAACTTGGTCCTTCAAGTTTTCAGAAGTACTGTGTATCTTGTCTCTGAATCTTGGGAAGACGAAGATACGGCCACCACTGTCTTCTGTGCTAGCGACTGTATCTTTGGATTCAGAGCTCCTGTATACTGAAGCCAATAATGATTCACTCTCACAGCAGTGGTGTGAGCAGTCTCAGCTTTTATATGCCATCTGTGTGAGTGAGCTGAATCTGCAGAAATGGGACCCTGTACACATGGCTTTTCCTCTGTTCATGGATGAAAATATTAAAGCAAATCCGTATGGTCCATGAGATGTTTTCTGTGTCAGGAAGGGAGTAAAACTGCCTGTCAAACCAAGCTGTTCTCTCTGATGAAAGGGGACTGTTTTTAAACACTCCTTTCCATAGTATTTTGCACGCCAGCCATGTGTGTTTTCTCATCTGACATCTCATGGAGATCCTTGGCTTCGGTACTGCAGGAGGGAAGGGTGTGCTGGGGGGGAAGGAAATAATTTCTTGATATGAACACAAGCACGTGTGCACACACACACTCTTAAATCAATCTTAAAGGAACTGAAATTATTTTTTTTTTAGGAATATGAAAGAAAATTAATCTGGTTGAGCCAGACTTAATTGCCTCCCCTTCTGTTTGGATTTTGTATTTTCTCATGAAGATATTGGGAAGCAATCCTCTGAGCTATTATTAGCTACAAAGGTGGAGACAGAGGGCAAAAGGTTCATTTACAATTCCTAAAGCAGAGCATTGAATTTTAAGCTAAAAGGCAAATTGATGAGCAGCTTGAAAAAGATTCATCCACTCATCCACTTAGCTTACTGAGTATTTCTGAAGGTGCATGCTGGTCTGGGGATGTAACTGTTCTCACAGCTGTAATACCTGCTGGCTGGAAAAAACAGAAAAAAAAAAGAGAGAGAAGAAAAAGGTTTTTTTAATTTTTTTTTTTTTTTTTAATGAAAGTGCCTTGCAGGGAGAAGCTTGAAAACATAAACTGATATGAAGTCATGGACTGATATATGCATTTCACAGAATCACAGAATGGTCAGGGTTGGAAGGGACCTCTGGAGATCATCCAGTCCAACCCCCCTGCCAGAGCAGGGTCACCTACAGCAGTTGCACAGGACAGCATCCATGGGGGTTTGGAATGTCTTCAGAGTGGGAGACTCCACCACCTCTCTGGGCAGCCTGTTCCAGTGCTCTGCCACCCTTACAGGAAAGAAGTCCCTCCTCATGTTTAGATGGAACTTCCTATGCTCAAGTTTGTGCCCATTACCTCTTGTCCTATCACTGGGCATCACTGAAAAAAGACTGTTCCCATCCCCCTGGCACCCTCCCTTTAAGTATTTCTAAGTATTGATGAGATCCCCCCTCAGTCTTCTTTTCTCCAGACTAAAAAGACCCAAGTGCCTCAGCCTTTCCTCAGAAGAAAGATGCTCCAGTCCCCTCGTCACCTTGTCATCCTTTGCTGGACCCTCTCCAGCAGTTCCCTGTCCTTCTTGAACCGAGGAGCCCAGGACTGGACGCAATACTCCTGATGCGGCCTCACCAGGGCCTTTCTTTTGAAGGAAGGAACTAGACTTAACTTCCATGACAGGAGGCTGGGAAGCATAAAGATTATACACACACACACACACACATTTTTGTGTTTTGAAAAATTCAAGTCAGTTAATCCCAGATAATGAGATACCATTTTAACCACCTCCATGATCTTAGGACAATCCTGCAAGAAGCAATTTGATCATGTTGGGCAGGAGAGGCCAACATTAGAGTGTGCTATTGCAAAAGAAACCCAACACTGAACAGGTTTTCTAGCCCTTTCCTAAAATGCAATGGTGATTGTCACTTTCTTTTACAGAATTACAGAACACAGAATGGTTGAGGTTGACAGGGACCTCTGGAGGTCATCTTGACCAACCCCTTGCTCAAACAGGGCCACCTAGAGCCACTTGCCGAGGACCATGTCCAGACAGCTTTTGAGTATCTCCAAGGATGGAGACTCCATAACCTTCCTGGGCAACCTGTGCCAGTGCTTGGTCACCCTCACAGTAAAAAAAGTGTTTCCTGATATTCAGAGGAAACCTCCCATGCTTTAGTTTGTGCCCTTTGCCTCTGGTCCTGACACTGTGCACCACTGAAAAGGGCCTGGCTCCATCCTCTTTGCACCCTCCCTTCAGGTATTTATACACATTGATGAGATCCCCCTGAACCTTCTCTTCTCCAGGCTGAACAGTCCCAGCTCTCTCAGCCTGTCCTCATAGGAGAGATGCTCCAGGCCCTTAATCCTCTTCATGGCCCTTCACTGGACTCTCTCCAGTACGTCCATGTCTGTCTTGTACTGAGGAGCCCAGAACTGGACCCACTCCAGGCGTGGCCTCACCAGTGCTCTTGTTGTCAAAAACTGGGCATCTCCTTTGGAAAGGGAAATTTTGGTGCAGGGACTGTTCAAACTGGGACACCAACATGGGTTTTAGGTGGCTGCAGCTTGAGTGCTGCTGGGTTTCTTTGTGCTCGCTCTGCCAGGCCTCTTGTATCTGGGATTTGCTGCTGTATTTCATCAGCTTTGGTCAAGGAGGGGTTTTCCCAGAGTCATACAATCATTTTGGTTGGAAAAGGCTTTAAGATCATTGAGTCCAGCCATAAACCTAACACTGCCAAGTCTACCACTAAACCACATCCCTGAGTGGGGACTACACATCTTTTCGATACCTCCAGGGATGGTGATTCAGCCACTTCCCCGGGCAGCCTGTTCCAATGCTTGACAACCGTTTTGGTGAATTTTCCAATTTTTTGGATATTTTCCTAATATCCAATCTAAACCTCCCCTGGCGCAACTTGAGAGTGTTTCCTCTCATCCTATCGCTTGTTGCTTGGGAAAAGAGACCTACACCCACCTCGCTACAACTTCCTTTCAGGTAATTGTAGAGTGAGGCTGCGTAGCTCAGCTTTCGTGACCTGACCTCTGGAATAAATATCCCTTTCTAAACTTGTTTCTTCTTTGGCGCTAGCTTTTTTTTTTTTCTTTTCTTTTTTTTTTTCCCCAATTTCTGCGCTAAAGCTTGTTCAGTTTGCCAGGCTAAAGGGCATCAAGAGAACATGCATCATATTGTAGTTTTTTGTCTAAGGCAACAAAACAAGTAAAGAAAAAAAGATCACTTTGGTGTAAATTTTTTTTTTTTCTGTGAAAGCTCCTTAAATATAAAAATAGTCTTTTCTTGAAGAAGGGATTTTACTAATGTAAATCCAATGCTGTTGGCAGAGGAATAATATGCTGTATATCATAAGGCAAGCAACTGAGGAGGAGCTGGAGTGATCGAAATGCCTCATGGGAGTATGAGATTGTGGGGATAGGTATTCACACAGAGGATGCTTTCTTACATGTGCCCAGGGCTGTCTCTTATCTCTGAACATGAACCCATAGCGAAATAGAAATGTTCCTGTATTAATAGTGCATCGGAGATAACCCTCATCTGAAAAAAAAACAGTAATACTGCACAACTGGGAACCCTTTCAGAGCGGGGAATTGGACTAGCAATTTCATAGTGTGTTGGTAATGAAATATTTTGGTTCTGTATAAGCAAATGGGCAAGGTTAGTGGACACATTACTCCGGCTGTCATTGTCCCAGCAGTAACCAATTTAGAGGCTTTATATTTTCTACTATCCCAGTAAGGGAGAGAAAAGTAGGAAGTTAAAAATAGAAATCCCAGAATGAATTAAAGCGCAAAGAGTGAACAAGCTCGTAGTAATGCTGTATAATTTTAAAATCCCTTTTTTCCTTATAATCTGGAGTTTAATATATGTATTACATTGCAAATTCTGGCGGTGTCTATCCTGCTCCGAAAGGTCACCTCCATACAGGAGGATTTATTCTGGCTGTAACGTGTGAACATGGGCATCCAACCCTGGATCTGTGTAGCCACCATTTGTATTGATGATTCCTGTTTCTATTTCCATTCACCTCATGCTGTTGATTGGCAGGTGAAGCATGAGAAGTTGTCTGTGGCTTTGGCCTGTAGTGGAGGAGCTTAAACAGATATCTTCTGGTGCCTGTGTATAGATCATAATTGTTTTTTTTCATAGCTTTTTCAACAGTTGTGGGCAGATATCAGACTTTCATGAACTGGTTGTTGCAAGTAGTTTCCCTGCAACATCACCCTACACAACACTGCAGTGTTGAGGTTTCTGTCCTAAGGTTAACCGTCATGCACTCTTGGTTTCTTTTAGGTTAGTTTTTCTTGCTAAGTTTCCTAACAATCAAGATGAATACTGTTTCTAAAGCAGGAATCCAACATAATGTGGAATTGTTTTCTTGATTTGCAGATATCCTTGTTGATGGCAAGCTTTGCGACTGCGATATCGTGGTGGACTGCAAAGTGGGGGACCCCATCCCGCTGGAGGTGAAGTTGACCAACTGGAGTAAACACAGCGTGGGGCCCTTCGCTCTCACCGTGACGCCCTACCAGGATTACCAAAATGGGGTGCACAACTATGAGCTGCAAGATGCTATCACCTTTGTGGGATCCAACACCTTCTACATCGATTCAGTAAGTCTTTCTATCCAATGGATCATGATTCCAGATGACGTGCATTTGCAGAAAAAAGCCTCATTATTCAATTGCGCACATAAGTAAAAACTTCTTTAATTTGAGATGGAGCACTGGGACAGGCTGCCCAAAGAGCTGGTGGAGTCTCCTTCTCTGGAGATCGTCAAAACTCACCTGGATGCGTTCCTGTCCAACCTGCTGTGGGTGACCTTGCTTTGGCAGGGGGGTTGGACTAGATGATCTCTGAAGGTCCCTTCCAACCCCCACCATTCTGTGATTCTGTGATTTTAAGGTGGATTCGTTTTTGGAAAGCACAACAATTATGGCAGCTATTGCTAAAGGTGCTGCTGGGTTTGGGAATATAGATTCATCTCTCCAAGATGGTTTAAGACTGTAATTGCCTATCACGTAAACCACTAGCAAACCATCAGAGACGCTAACTTTTGGTCATTCTAGATCTGACTAAATATGAATGAGTAACCTAGATAAAATGTTTAGTACCATATTGCCAGTCCCTTGAGCCATCCAGTGCAGCCAGCAGTAATAGATTTTAAGTAACTTCTCCTCTTTAGTCCATAGGAAATATTCCCTAGGCTGAGCCGAGGAACTCAGCAAATCAGTTTTAGTCAGGTCCTGAGGAAATGCAACAGACTGCAGAAAGAAAATGCCAAACATTAATGACCAATATGACGAGCTGGTTCATTTCCTTGTCGCCTAGCACACTCTTATAAAACCATAAAGAAAAATAGAAAACATATTTAAAATGAGACAAAAATGTCCCTTTCTAGAACGGTAGAGATTTTTATTTTTGTCTCAAATTCTTCTTTAGAAAATTCAAGTCTAGGAGCTTTTGCTTCTAAGGCAAGACACTAAAAATACAGATAAAATTACTCTCTCCCACATCCTTCCCCAAAAAATAGGAACAACAACAAAAAAAGGAATGAAAAAACATACGGACAGTACTGCAGAGTGGAATAAGCAGTATTTCTGGTAACTTATAAAATAAACATGAAGAAGAGGGTGATCATTTGGGGTAGGGCTTAGGACCTTTGCTTAGGTCAGCTCTTCGGATAGCTAATAAAATGTACCTGTCAAAACTGAATATTTAAGTGAACCTTAGTAAGAAAGAAATTAAAAGTTAACCACAGCGATAGTCACCATGCATATTTTTCAATTACGCATCATGGGAAGAAAACATTTCAAAAAAGCTAATGGGCACGGAACACACCATCAACTTGAATTTTAATGGGGGCTAACTATATTCTTAGCTGAATAATTTAAATATGTCAACAGAAATAATCAAGAGATGGCTTTCTTTGACTCTCTTTCTGACAATGTGGATTTTTTTAATCAGAGTGGCAGTGTTTGGATGCCCAGCTGCCGAAGGGCCTGACCTTCCAGGCTAATGAGGGAAAAGGGAGATGTCAGCATGATGTATTCTTACCTTCTGACTGAGTCTCCTATGGGGCAAAAAGTCAGGAGGTCACGTCTCTTGTGCCTGCCCAGGCGGCCTTCTCATACGTTACGGTCCCCGCTTTTGCCCCATCGTTCAGTATTGTGACATTTCTCCTGTAAACACAGTCCCCGATCAGTTAAAAATAGATTTGTTTTCTGCTATTTGTCCCCCTTTTCATCCAAAAAAGGTGAAATGAAGAAAATGTCGACTCTTAGACTAGAAGTGTTGTATTTCACGGTATGTAGTATTGTTACTTGTCCTACACAGGCTCCCAGAGAAAATGCTTAGTCATATTTCTTTGAGGCATACAGCCCTGATCATGGAAGAAAATTCTTCAAACAGTGTATCTAATGCTGTCAGAGGCCCTTTCATCCCCCGTAATAACTAATTCAGTAATGGAAAAAAGATTTCAGAAAGCCGCACCTGTTTTGGGGACAAGAAGAAAGTCCCGGTTTGTGCATTTGATGCTTCAGGGAAGAATGAACATAGTCAGAATTGTGTTCGTGCTCTGAGTTTGGCAGAAACTCAGACAGACGCTGGTTAAGAAACCGAAGCAACTCATGGTTGGGTGAGATGAAAGAGATTCAGAGTTTCTCTTTTTTATAAATGAAAGCGAGACACTGGACCAGATTCAGTACTTAAAGGCAGCCTAGAGGAAAGATGTGGACGAACTTTTTAGCAGGGCCTGTTGCAATAGGACAAGGGATAATGGCTTTAAACAAAAAGAGGGGAGATTTGGACTAGGTATAAGGAGGAAATTTTTCACAATGAGGGTGGTGAAGCACTGGCCCAGGTTGCCCAGAGAGGTGGTAAATGCCCCATCCCTGGAAACATTCCAGGTCAGGTTGGACAGGGCTCCGAGCAACCCGATCTAGTTGAGGATGTCCCTGCTCATGGCAGTGGGTTGGACTAGATGACCTTTAAATGTGCTTTCCAACCCAAACCATTCTGTGATTCCCTGCTGGTGAAGCTCAGTCCTGCTCCGTTGAAGCCATTAAACATGTGCCCATTATTTTTATAAACTGACGTCATGGGCACACAATTATTTCGCTTGTTTAATGGAAGTGGCTTGAGATGCTATCATGTCCCAGCTGCTTGTTTCTGCACCTCTGCAGGGAGGTGCTCCCCTCTTCCCTAGCAGACCAAGCGGGAGAGGTGGTGTGAGTATTTGTTTTCGTGCAAAGTTGGCCAGTTTAGCAAAAACTACGTTTGTCAGCAGTTTAAGCTAATTGGGCTGACTTTACACTGACACTGGCAAGGAGGTGGTGACATGATTTATTGCACTGCTGAGCTGGGTAGGAGGAAGGATGGAGAACTAGCGTATGGTTTGGCATGTCAGTAGTGTATGGTAAAGAACGAGTGGGAGCATCAGGTATTACAGCAAGAGAAGATATGTCTCACGCCCTGAAAATTTGGTCTGTTGTCATGCTGATGCAGAAACTACAACATTATTGGTGCTCAACAGGATGTGATTTCTCTGGGGAAAAAAAACCCAAACCCCAACCCCCTCTGCTTTCCTAAATTTTAATTTCATATTAAGCCTGATGCTCAGCAAATCACAATTATTTTTGTTTCCAGACTAAAAAGTTTCAATTCGGTTTCTGCTGCTATCTGGAAGACGGGGGATATATAAAGGAATTTTCAGCATGCACTTGCTGCTTCACAGTATGAATATAAATTGCTTAAAGGGTAAAAGTCATATGATTTTGTATTTCTCTTTCTTGCAGCTTGAAGTCCAGGTTAGATGATTTATCCTGGAAGTAACGTAATGAGTGCTTATTCACCTTTTTGCGCTCTTACTTCAATTCAATGCAGCAGTCTGGGTTTCTGTCACAAAGTCTCTGCTGGGATATACTACTTCAAAAAGCAAATTCTTTTACTGACAATTTTAAAGGATATTGAGATATTTCCATGCATTTTAAATTAAGTAATACCTTTGTTTTTAAGCACAACTTCTAATTTGGTTAACCTTACTTTTCTATGTCTGCATTTAACAGAAAAAGTGACTTCATCGATTATCATTTAGGTAGTAGACATTTTTGTTCAGTGCGGGGTTTTGAAACATGAGATAAGATGGTGGAGGCCCCCCATTAAAATATATTGCATTAATTTATTTTTTCTCTCAATTCACAACCTGAAGTTTAGCTTTAGCCATATTATTAAAAATTCTTAGTTCTTACCAAAGTTTTTTTTTATTTTTTATTAATTAGTTGATCAGACAGAGTTGCTTCTTGCCAAATTAAAAAAAATATAATAATTTTCTTCTATGGAGATTCCTGTACCTACCAGCAATTCATCTTTTTCTTGTTGTTCCTGCTTTTGCCATTACTGTTCTCAAGCAGTTTTTTTTTCCTGTGTGTGTTATCATGCGCTAGCTCAAGCGATTGGTAGTGGGAGATGAGGAGAAATTCATTAGTAGATGGTCATTTTGAATCAGCTCAGAAGCTATGATGAACGTTTGCTCACTTCTGGCAGGTCCTCTGTGGCCCATCTGGAACAAATTAGTTTTCTTGGCACTGTGTTACTCACACTGTAAACTCTTTGGGGCAGCGAACAGTAGCTGGCACTAGCCCTAATCTCCAACTGAGCTCCCTAAGTACTACAGCAGTATAAATAAGTAGTAATTAGTTCTAAGCAATCGCAGTCCCACATGGTAGCCTGAATCGGGGAAGGATTAGGATGGAGCTAGAAACTTAATTTTTCTTCTATCTCAGTGGAACAGAGGAGTAATGTGGGCATTTTTTTCTTGATTCCTCAGTCATGATTTTCTAGGGTAGCAGCTTTCCATCTTTGGTCTTCACATAAAGGATTTGGTGGAATTTTAGTAAAATCTCTTCTGACTCTGCCTCGATTCAGCAAACATGTTCAATGGCATCACAGATTGCCACAACGTATAACCACTTGTCGAGGCAGCGTGGCGCTAGATGGAACGACAATACAAATGTGGTCTGGATCAGGCACAAGTATGCGATCTTCATGTTTCTCGTAGGTTAGCTGGATCATGCATTGCAATCAGTGGGATGGTGTGTACTGTCAGCCATGGTAGGAAACATCTCACTTTGTGTACACATCTGAACTAGTCACCCTGAGCTCCCTTCACAGGCAGTGGAGAGCGAGTCATCAGGGTTGATGGAGTTTAGCGGATATTTTCCCTCATTCTGCATGTGATCAGATGAATCCTTGTGTTAAACAGCTGGCTCAGATGTGGACATCCACTGTACAGACATGTGGGTGGCATCTGAATGAGTAGGTGTTACCATGGATGCTGGCCAGCTAAGCTGCAATTAGTCAATGGAGATGTAGTCTGCAGCCAGTAGAATCTGGCTTATGCTAACATAGACACCAGGGGTGAGATTCAGTTGCCTAAAAGTAAGTGTCTACCATCATTCGATGCTGTGGGTATCCCGTCTAGCCTCTACCTACTGCCAGAAATCCTGTAAATCATCCTGTAAATCTTGCCAGTCCTGTGCAGATGTCTCAGTGCCTTAGGTCATCCCAAATGTCCCAAGATGCCTAGGTTTAGGCAACTGTATCCTGACTCTACAGGCTGGCCAGGTAGACCATTGTGTGTTTGCTCCACTGGCTACATTGGCTAGACGTCTTCTTACTGTAGTAGGAGCTTGGATACCTACTGTGCAGAGAGTCACCTTAACGTAGGTGGTTTAACCTCAAAATTAGTCCTGTGCCTGGTATACCAGTTGGGTTGGATCTGGCCCTCTACTGACCTGACTGCTGCTGATGTGCTTGTGGTCAGCTGGGAATGTTTGTAGGCCTTACTTTCCAAAGTTAGTTACTATTTTGGAAGAAACTTCTTGTAACTTCTTCAGAGCCACTTGCATCTCACCAGTGGAAAGGTTTCAAGCTACTTTTGCTTCCCTGTTTCTTCCCCAAACCACGAGTGTTGAATAGAGTAGTGGTTGTACAAGTGTTCATATGGATGTGGATAGTCCCCAAACAGTGAACGTTGTTGGGTCTGTGCATACTGTGCAGGGAGATGGGCTGCAGACAGAACTGGACACATACCACCGCCTGCTTTGCTGGCTCTTCTCACTTTTGATGAAGAAAACTTATGACTGGTGCAGAGACTTGTGCTGTGAAGAAAGGAGGAATGAGCAACCATGTAGGCAGAACTTCAAATGAGTGAAAAGACTGTGTTTATGCCAATGTGCCTGAAGCCACCTTCCTGCTTGTCAAGGGCTCTGATCAATGCTGTTACAGATATTTCTTCATGGTGCAGCTACATTCAGGAAAAAAATTTTCACTGTGAAGGTGATGAGACACTGGCACAGGTTGCCCAGAGAAGTTGTGGATGTCCCATCCCTGGAGGTGTTCAAGATCAGGCTGCTTGGAGCAACCTGGTCTAGTGGGAGGTGTCCTTGCCCGTGGCAGGAGGGCTGGAACTAGATGATCTTCAAGGTGCCTTCCAACCTAAACCATTCTATAACTCTATGATTAGGAAAAATGGACTGGGAGCTTGAAAAAGGTATGGGTCCTGAGGAGGCTTTGTTTGATTTTTGCCTCCACTTATTGCTGGCATTAGTGCCTGCCTCTGTCCTCCTCTGGGTGCAAGAAATAAGGCAGGCAGCCCCAGGAGGAGGGGAAGGAAGAAAGAGAGGAGACTGCTTCACGTTGTTCTGCATGTCCAGACGCAATGCCAGAGGGCAAGAACTTGTACCCAGCGAGGAGGGGAGATGCCAAGGACAGGGGTCATGAGAACAGCTGTGGCTGCTCTGATCACTCACGTGGATGATACGATGCTGATACATGTTTGCTGTAGGTCAGCAAAAGTGCTCAGCACCAAAGCCAAAGTGACCCTGGGCTCAGCCAGCTCTGATGATGTTGCTGCTTGTGAACAGACAGGCCCCTGTGCAGGAGCAGCATTTTAGTCAGGTTCAGCAAAGAATCCCGATACTCCAGGGGACTATACAGGGTGCATGTCTGCTGGCTAAAGGACCCAGAAATGAAGGTCCAAAAAAAAAAACCTAGAATAGGAGAAAACAGAAACAAACAGCTCATTCTTCTCACATCTGAAAGCTACAGAAAACCTGCCCCACTGGAGGTGGTGGCAGGCAATGTTCAACTCTCTGGCATATTCTAGAGGTGCCCACACCCCTGGAAACCTTTTCATAGAATCACGGAATCATAGAATGGTTTAGGTTGGAAGGGACCTTAAAGATCATCTAGTTCCAACCCCCCTGCCCTGGGCAGGGCCACCTCCCACTAGACCAGGTTGCTCAAAGCTCCATCCAACCTGGCCTTGAGCCTTTTCTAGTGGTTTGTCTCCCCCCTCTCCCCTGTCATGGTCCATCTTTGTTCTTGCAATGGCTAAGTGCCCTTCAGCAAGGGGTGTCCATAGACACTTTCACAGTTAATACCCAGTTGTTGATGTCCCAGTTTACATCTTGAGCTGATGGTTTCAGGGTCCAGAGAGCAGAAGAGAACTGGTAAGAAGGTCTTGGCTGAGAGAAGACCAATATTGAGGAGCATCAGGTGCCCTTTGGCTGGGATGAAGTTGCCTTTTCACAATTTTCTCAATAAATTATACCCAATGGAATGGCTTTGTGCTGATTGTGTGTTTTGCATCTGCAGCAACTTCAGCCCAATTCCAAGCACCCTGAGACTGGATGTAACATCTTGTGGAAGCAGATATTATTACTATCACAAACTCAACAGTCATAGGGTTGTTAAAGTTAGAAATTACTTAAGTGTTGTGCTGAAATGATGGACTGAGATATATTATTTGCTGTAAAGATATGGATCATGAATGGTTTTGTGATGAAGGGAGATACATAAATGTAGAAACAGTGTGAACTCTAATTTGGACATCAAGTTACATCAGGGTGGCTACTTTTTGTGGGATGTTTCTTGCTCAACTTGATTATTTCAATGATAGTGAATATTAAAGATTCCTGATTAGAATCTGCAGTCACATTGTGTCTGAATAATAAGTGGGGATGAATTTAGTTATTACTAAGTTGTTAAATGGTGTTTAATCATATGTTTAACATGAGTTCAGAGCCATGATTTAGACCTTTAATACAGATGTTGATAAATGCAGTCTGAGGAAAGATGTTCTTGGATATTCAGGACATTGTGGGGCACTTCTGCCTTAAACCAACTCTGTTCTGGAATCAGTGACTCCTGAAGATCTGTATTCTGGTTTGAGCTGTGCCACAACTTTGCTGCATGAGAGAATAATACAGGATTTAATTGTCAATGCTCCAGTTTTACCATTGCTAGAACAGGGACAAGATCTTTACTCCTTTTTGTGTGAAGGCAATATTGAGATGTGAATCCAGAATACTTTGAGATCATTTGAAGGAGCTACTGAACTACAAAGTGCAATTATTTTGTTTTGTTGCTGGTTTATTTGTACTGATTTTCAGGTTCTCTTTTCCAGGTGAAGCCGACCAAAGACTCTGTGTACTTTGGAGCACTTCTCTTTCTCTACACTGGCGATTTCTACCTGAATATCAAATTCCATGAAGACAACTGCAGCAGGGAGCTGCCTCTGTCCTGGTTCTGCCTCCCTAGTGTCCACATCCGTGCTATGGAGCCTACGGTCCAAGCTAAGCCGTAAATGTACTGTGTGCCATTTGATTAACCACAGTGCGCAGAAATGCTTGGCACATCCTCTGCTTGACCCCAGCTCATTTCTGTCTAACCCCAGGCCACAGTCCCTACTTTGGAGGAACAGCTGAACACTTTCTGAATTGGCTGATAGTCATTTGGGCAGCTGCTTTAGCTAATTTCAGAGAAAGAGAGAGAGAGAGAGATTATAAATACGCTAGAGTTTTCCTCTTTATCCAAAAAGCTTTTGAAACTGCTAATATATGCACTATACTTCCATATACTCTATTGGTATCAGAGGGTTTGAAAGGGTCTTGAGGGCTGAATTTAAGAGGGCTGAATTTAACCATGTGTTTGAAAGTCTCAATTCCAACTTGAAGAGTCCCTTTGTAGCATTTTCCAACAAAAGTTGTGTACCTGTATGAAATTCCTCCTGGCTTACGCTGGACCCGTTGCATGTACCCTTGAGATGTAGTTCTCTCTCAGACTTATTCCCAGGCTTGTTCTTGCCCACTTGTTTGCTGAGTATTTGGTGTCTTTGGTAGTAAATAGCCGTAGTGATGCTTTTTCCTTTGTTACTGAATGTAAGAATAGTAAATGTGCCTCCAGTTATTCTCTTCCTCCCCTGAGCCCAGTGTCACTTGCTCCTGGTAGAGTCACTACCTTCAGTTTGGCAGGTCTATGAACAAGAAATGAAAGACGGCAAGGAAGAGCTAAAGAGTTTTGTCCTTGAGAAAGGAAATAAGCTAACTGTTGGGTTGCCTCAGGCTCGCCTGTGAATTTGGGCTTTCACCATTCCGTTTTATACAATCACAATCACTTGAAAGGTTTGCAGACATTTAAAGAGTCGCCAGAATTAGTCAGCTTGTCATTAATATCACTTTACATGAGTTTTTGCAAACTCTTCTGATCAGATTTTTCATGCCAATAGATTGGGCTTGATCATGTACTTGGTTTTTTCCTTCTTTTTTTTTTTTTTAGAATGTTCAAGAGTAATTATTAGGCAATTAAGGCTATGGAATTCCTGACCATAAAAGTAGTTGATGAATGTACTGAATAAATTAGCCCGTTGTCTTTCAGAATAATGTTTTTGTATCAAGAGTCCTGCATTTACCCCATGTAAAGCAGGGAGATGTCTTAGCTGTATGATTAATATATTATTTCATGGACCATATGTTTCAAACCCGTCTCCATCTTTTCTTAAATTTACAGCCTGCAGCTCTTAAATTTGGTGGTAGTATACTTCCAGGGGTGGATACACCACGATGTGGCAGCAGGGCTCCAGTGAGCTCCATATGTGCTAAACCTACGTGCACAACCTCTCTGCAGATTTTTTGTCTGTTTGTTTAGGCTTCATCCAAATGTGGACACACCACTTCATGCCTGAGCTCGTCTGTCCTGCTCATGCTGTGGAGCAGTAGCCCAGATAGCTCATTCTGGCTCTCTGCTCCATGCCTGGTTGTACTTTTAGATGTGACTGGTGTGTTCTGTAGGAATGACAGTGCTCAAAACTCAATTCCTTGCATGTTCGCAAATCACTGGAATGTATTCATCCTAAACATATTTCTAATTCAAGGGAAATATAGCTGTAGTGTGATAGCTGTATTTTCACTGTATGCAGGGTATTATCTCTAAAAAAACTGTATTGTGGCAATGTTATCAGTGTTTGCTCTTGAGCTGTGGCTCTGTACACAGCTGTGAATGCCGGAGTGGAAGTCTTCAGTCTTAAACTGATGGAAATCTGAGACGGACTGAAAATTTACTCGCAATGATGTACTGCTCTGTCAGCTGCCAGCATGCAATGTCCAGTAAGAAAATTGTTCTTTACACTTGCACAGTGGTTCTGGGCCAGAGACACCCATGGAAAGAGGGTCCAAGCAGCTGAGGTGGGCATGTTTTATGCATTAGTGGGGCTGGGTTGACCAGTTTGTGCCATGAGGCTGAATTCTCTGTCACTACATAGGTATAGACACAGGAAAAATAAGATCCCGGGAGAGCAGGAATTAAACCAGTTAATCTTCTCCATAAAAGCTTGCTTTTGACATGTGTCTCTGTACTATGTTACACAACACTGTTGCAGCAAAATCCAAATTGGGTTTTATTCAGTATTCCCAGCAGGTAATCTGCAGATGCTAGGAATACAGCTAAGGCTTTGTAAGGACCACATTGCATTTGAAACAAAAATATTGTGAAGCAGATGCTGTTGCAGACAGGATGCTTCGGCTTACCCAGCTAAGGGATCATTTCCTAGTTTATTTTTAAGAGCGTTCTCTGAGAACAGAGGATATGGTTCTATGAAGCCTATGCTGGGATGCAGCACTCCTGTGCCCTTTACTTGTAAAGGATCCTGATCCACAGCCTGCTGAAGCCGTTGGAATGGGAACAGGTTTTATTAGAACAAAAGCAAGCTGCATATTTCCAGTACGCCGTTATAAATCTGCCATATGTGCTCATAAATATAAGTTCTTATGTGTGAGCTGACCCTTGATGTTCCGTCTGTTCATTATATCACAGATCACTCTGTCCCTTGTCAACTTTGGTGCTTAGTTGCTTTTGGCATCTATGATATCTTTCCCAATTTTCTCACACTTCTACTTGTCTTGGTGAGGGAGATGAAACACAAGAAATTCTTCCTTCTGGCGATCATTTGTGACTTGTCCAGAAGGAGAATATTTAAGTGTCAGTGTAATTTGGAGAAGGATGAGGCAAAGGTACTTGAAATAAGAATACTGCATCACTTTGGGTTTTCTTTTTTAAATGAAGTTTTCACTGAGGTTGCTCTCAGGATTGGTCCTTGCAGCGCTTGAAAAAGGATGATGCTTTTCTGTTCTGCTCTTCTTTTCTGGAACGGAAAGCTTGCTTTTATTTCTCCGAACCACCCAGCTATTATTTTGAACATGATGAGCCAAACTGTGCATTGTTACACAGATGTAAATCTGATATGATCCCACTTGGTTGAATTAAATCATGCCTAATTTAAATCACCATTGCTGAGAGCAGACGTTGGTCCAATATATGTATGCACTGGAGAAGCATAAGTTGTGTAAATTTAACTGTCTGAATAAATACTTATCTTGTGTTATTTACACCTCTGCCTGTCTCTTCTCTCTATAATTCTTGGTAGTGTTGTTGTGTATGCTTTACTGGTAATAATAACATATCTCGATGCTGCATGCTGTGTCTGAAAGAATGCATTTGATCCTGGAACTGAAATTTCAGCTTCACTGAAACTTTCTCTTCCTAGATGAACTCAGAGCTGATGAAAGATGTATGCTCCATCGTGTGGCTCCTGTGTCAGTGTCCATTAACTGTCACCTGAAGGGAGAGAGATGCACTCACGTTAAAGGTTACTTATGCCTCAATATCCTAATATTGACATTAGGGGTGGGGAGACACTGGCACAGGTTGCCCAGAGAGGTGGTCTTAGTACAGAGGACATGTAGATCTGGACAATTTTCATGTTCAGCGTTCAATGATACATGTTTACTTCTGCAGGTTGGACCATTCTGGGGCTTAGGTCAGGGTCCTTGAGTCGTCCAGCATCTTTCTGTTTTAGCTGTTGTTTTCTCGTCTCTCTTTTTCACGTCATCCTTCCCACCAATTCTTCCTCTTCCTGCTTTTCTGCTTTTCTTTATGGTTTCAACAGAAAGGATCAACATGGCCCTTTCTTTTTCTGTCTCCTTCCTCTGCATCTCCATATGAGCCCTCCTAACACTTTGGTCATCTACTAGGGAAAAAAATTGCTTCATACTCTATTTCAGTTGTTAAACTGAAGTTTGGCTCATATATCCTCTTAAAAGCATATTTCAGTTGAATGGGGCCTTGTCTATTTTATTACCATCTGGTGTTGCTTGTTGGAGTGATACTTAGGCTACTACATTCCTGATGCATCAGTTCCATAAGACCAATGGGACTTGTGCTGTATGTAGATGACATGTCATTTAACATATATTGATTACTTATAGTCCCTGTGTTCCTGATTCAGCTAGATATCTAAGCATGTGCCTAATGTTAAGCACATTAATAGACTCACTGATTGCAGCTAATTCAGCCACACATCTGCCTGGGGGACTTGCTAAACCTGTGTCCAGATGCACGATCTGTATCTGAACGCACAAATTTGAGATTGAGGTCCCTGGCCCATTGTGCTGCATTGGCCATCTTATTCTTGGATCACCACTGGCTCCCAGGAACCCTTGTACAAGGAGAAGACATCTAATCAACATCGGGCACTGTCATTTTAATACATGAGGAATAGATACACAAAACAAGTCTGGGAGTGCAGCAGATCCTTCCAGGCCAGTGTGTCCTCAGTGTGTATCTATACCAACCACAGCAATGAACCTTGGACGCATAAATCATACGAATAAACTTGCTCTGGAAAGCACGTTATACCCAAATATATATATGCCTACCCATATATATATATGCTCAGTAGCTGTGTACTGGGTGAGACAGCGCTCATCCACCTCCTGTGTGCAGTTGCTCTTACGAGGGTTCGTCTTCTAAGGGCTGGGACCAGCACAGGCTGCGCTGACGTCCTCTCAGCCTCCCCATCTCCACCTCCGTAGGAAATCTCCCCAGGAACTGTTCAGAAATTACTCGACATAAGGGAAGGCATATGTTAACAATGAGGAAACACAGCACCACTTTTGTGATGAGGGAGCGCTGGATCCTCTGAAGAGAAGAATTTGTTACGGCCCGATGTACTTTGATATCATGACTGAAGAAGGGCGATTTCAGCCCCTTTTCAGCATGTATTCAGTTTGAACAAAACAATGTGGACACTGCCAGGAAGAAATCAGGCCAACTATTGAAATGGTTTAACAATGAGCATCTTGTTAATGGCTATGAGGATGTCATCACTAATCTGTGTCAGAAACAGGGCCCTTTGCTATCCAAAGTCTGCCCATGTTCTTACAGAACAGTCCAGGTCAACGGCTGAAGTGATGCCATGGTCCAGTTTAGGCATCCACCTACCACCTCATTTCCCAACAGCTCAGATCCAGA